AATGAGATATTAATAAAAATTATGAAAGCCGATCTACTGGTTCTTATCCATTCCCTAAAAAGAATGAGACGAACTTCCACCAAGCTAAGCGTGGAAGAGGTCGTGGCCCTAGTTATGGTCATGGCCGTGGTCGGAGAAAAAACTCTAATCATGGTAATGATAATGCACCAAAAAAACCCTCCTCACCACTAGCAGGTGGAAAAGGAAAGAACAAAAGCATGAAGTAGTGCAAGCAAAAAATGCAGAAATACATGCTATAGATGTAGAGGAAAATGGTACTAGTCACGTACCTGTCGTACGCCAAAACACCTGGTTGAGCTTTATCAAGCCCCCCTAAAGAAGACAGAAAAAAAATGCTGAAGCAAATTTTATTTCTGAAGATAATTTAGACTTTATGCATTTGGATGTAGCTTATTACTTTGCACTCTCGGAAGGAGAAACAAGTCATGTGATCGGTGATGAATCTGTAGAAATGTAAATATTTTAATTTTTGTTGTTTATAGTATATAGTATGGTTATGTAATTGTTGTATATAAATAAAAGTTGTGCTTTGATAATGATATTTACTATCATATTTATTTTGTTTATGTCATTTTGAAGAATATGGATAATCCTCAAATTATGTTTGGATCAAAGACCAATCATGAAGATATTTGTGTAATTGATAGTGGAACAACTCATGACATATTCAAAGATCAGAAATACTTTTCTTATTTGCATAGAGAAAAAGCAAATATTTTAACAATTTCTGGTAATATAAGTTTGATTGAAGGCTCCGGAAGAGCCACTATATTTCTGTCTAAAGGAACAACACTTATTATAGACAATGCATTATTCTCCTTCAAGTCCCGAAGAAACTTGTTGAGCTTTATACATATCCGCAGAAATAGGTATAATGTTGAGATGATAGATGAAATGAATGTGGAATATCTTTGTGTTACAAAGAATATTTCTGGCCAAAAGTGCATTGTAGAAAAGTTATCAACTTTATCTTCTGGTTTATACTATTTAAAGATCAGTATAATTGAAGCACACTCTATCGTAAACCAGAAGTTTACTGATTTAAATACTTTTGTGCTTTGGCATGGCCGCTTGGGATATCCTGGATCAATATTGATGAGACGAATTATTAAAAATTCGAGTGGGCATCTGTTAAAGAACCTGAAGATTCTTACAAATGATGAATTTTCTTATGATGCTTGTTATCAAGGCAAAATGATCACTAAACTATCACCAATGAAGGTTGACATGGAATCCCCTGCCTTTCTATAGCGTATACATGGATATATGTGGACTTATTCATCCACCAAGTGGGTTGTTTAGATATTTTATGGTCCTAATAGATGCATCTTCAAGATGGTCTCATGTGTGCCTTTCATCATCTCGCAACCTGGCGTTTGCAAAGCTATTAGCCCAAATAATTCGATTAAGAGCACAATTCCCAGATTATCCTGTAAAGGCCATTCGCCTTGATAATACTGGAGAATTCTCATCTCAAGCTTTTGATGATTATTGTCTATCAGTTAGGATAAAAGTTGATCTCCTGTAGCTTATCTTCTTACTCAAAATGGCCTTGCAGAGTCATTTATTAAACACCTACAATTGATAGCAAGACCACTACTTATGAAAATAAAATTGTCCATTACTATTTGGGGGCATGCTATCTTACATGCATCATCACCTATTCGTCTCAGATCGACACATTATAATAAATATTTTCCATCACAATTAGTTTTTGGTCATGAACCAAATATTGCTCATCTACAAATTTTTGGATGTGATGTATATGTGCCAGTAGCACCACCACAACGTAGTAAGATGAGCCCCAGAGAAGGTTAGGAATATATGTTGGGTTTGAATCACCCTCTATTATTCGTTATCTTGAACCATTGACGGGAGATTTATTTACTACTTGATTTGCAGATTGTCGATTTGATAAAACAAATTACCCGCAATTAGGGGGAGAGAAAAGGAAATCAAAAGAGAAATTATGTGAAAAGTTTCATCATTATCTCATTTTGATCCACATACCCCTATATGTAATCGGAAGGTCCAGAAGATCATCCATTTACAGAATATAGCAAATCAAATGCATAACGTGTTTACTGATTTGAAAAGGATAACTAAGTCACATGTCCATGCAATGTGCCTATCCGAATTGATGTCCCAATAGGACCATCTACTAGCATGATAGCTAGTGAACCTAAAGCGCGCCTGAAGCGTGGTTGGCCTTTGGGTTCTAAGAATCAAAATCCTAGGAAAAAAATCATCAAATGATCAAAATGATACTATGAAGGGATCTCCTGAAGAGACCCAAGATCTAATTAGTTCTAAGATTCCTGAAGAAATCAATGAACCCGAGACTCAAGTGAGCGAGGAGCTTTTAATAAGTTCTACTGGTGATGGGAAATCGATCTAAAATAGTGGTGGATAATATCTTTGCATATAATGTTGCACTTAACATTATGCAAGATAGTGAGGATCTTGAACCTCGATATGTCGAAGAATGTCGACAAAGATCTTATTGGCCAAAATGGCAAGAGGCAATTCAATCAGAATTGAACTCACTTGATAAAAAAGAGGTCTTTGGACCAGTAGTCCAAACACCTGCTGGTATAAAACCAGTTGGTCATAAATGGGGTTTTGTGCGAAAAAGGAATGATAAAAATGAAACTGAAAGATACAAAGCTTGCCTTATCGCACAAGGATTCTCACAACGACCTGAAGTTAATTTTGATAAAACATATTCACCTGTTATGATTGCCATAATATTTAGATATCTCATCAGTTTAGTCCTATATGAAAGGCTTGAAATACATCTAATAGATGTAGTTACAACTTATCTGTACGGTTCACCTGACAATAAAATTACATGAAAATCCCTGAAAGATTTAAAATGTCTGAAGCATATTCGAAATCTCGGAAAATATATTCAATCAAATTACAAAGGTCTTTGTATGGTTTAAAGCAATCTGGGCGAATGTGGTATAAATGCCTCAGTGAATATTTGCTGAAAGAGGGTTACATAAATGATGTTATTTGTCCATGTATTTTTATAAAAAAAATGACATCAGAATTTTGTTATACTTGTTGTCTATGTTGATGACATAAATCTTGTTGGAACTCCAAAATGCAATTGAATATCTTTAGAAACAATTTAAAATGAAAGATCTTGGAAAGACAAAACTTTGTCTTAGTCTGCAAATTGAACATTTAGTAGACGAAATTTGTATCCATCGATCTGCCTATATAGAAAGGGTCTTAAAATGCTTTTACATGTACAAAGTGCACCCATTGAATACACCAATAATTGTTCGATCACTTGAAGTGAATAATGACCCGTTCCGACCTCCAGAAGAGGATAAGGAACTCCTTGGTCCTAAAACGCCCTATCTCAGTGCAATTGGTGCATTTATGTATCTTGTTAATATTACAAGGCCTGACATATCATTTTCTGTTAATTTACTAGCAACATATAGCTCTTCTCCTACACGAAGATATCAGAATGGGATTAGGCATATTTTGCGATATTTAAAGGGAACTCTTGATATGAGTTTGTTTTATGCTAACAAAGATAGTGCAAATCTTATTGGTTATGCAGATGCATGTTATTTATCTGATACCCATAAAGCTCGATCTCAAACCGGGTACATATTTACATGTGGAGGTACTGCCATATTATGGCGCTCCACAAAGCAATCTATTGTTGCTACTTCTTCAAATCATGCTGAGATAATAGTTATTCATGAAGCAAGTAGGGAATGCATATGGTTGAGATCAGTGATTCATTTTATTCAAGAAAACTGTGGTTTGGAATGTGATAAAAGATCCACAATTTTATACGAAGACAATGTTGCATGCATAGCCCAATTGAAGGGAGGATTTATAAAGGAGATAGAACGAAACACATTTCACCAAAATTATTCTACACACACGATCTTCAAAAAATGATGACATTGATGTGCAACAAATCTGTTTAAATGACAATCCAACAGATTTATTCACTAAATCTTTGCCAACTTCAACTTTTGAGAAGATGATATACAAGATTGGAATACGGAGACTCAAATATCTGAAACAAGGTTTTCATCAGAGGGAGTAAAATATGCGATGCACTCTTTTTTCCTTACTAAGATTTTCCCCATAGGGTTTTCCTTATCAGATTTTTAATGAGGCACCTAATAATGTGTATTGCTAAATATGTGTACTATTTTTCCTTTACTAGGATTTTTTTCACGGGATTTTTCCTAGTAAGATTTTAATGAGGCACATTATCTTTTAATGAACATCCAAGGGGGAGTATTATAAATATATTATATTATAGATATTTATTTAGTACTCCATTGTAAATAAGCATCCCGAAGAAGCTTATCCAAATGGGACTCCACCGTAAATATGTTTATCTATTTAGTACTCTATTGGAAATAAGCCTCCTGAAGAAGCTTATCACTTCGGTACCCGATTACGGATAAACATTACCTCTGGTAGAAGATTATTCATATCTGGTACAATAATCTTATCCTTTCAATACTCTGTTATGAATAAATATTACCCCCAGTAGAAGATTATCCATACCTGGTATTATAAGCTTATCCCGTCGGTACTCCATTATAGATAAACATTACCACCAATAGAAAATTACCTATACCTGGTACAATAAGCTTATCCTTTCGATACTCCATTACGGATAAACATTACCTTCGGTAGAAAATTATCTATACCTGATACTAGCAGCTTACACAACAGCTTGCAGTAGCAGCTTATACACCAACTTACTTTCTTCTATAAATAAAGGAGATTTGAGTACATCAATTTGAAGTTGAATAATATAAAAAAATTTGTATAGTTATCTTTACTTTTTTGTCTTTATTTTACCGTCTTTATTTTATAACATTACGGACCATTTTGAATTTCCCTCAAACATAAGAGATTTTAAATCATTTTTTGCCTTTTTCCTTTCTCCACCTTTTTTTAAAACCCACTCAATCGTGAAAAAGTAAAAAAAAAGTAAAAAATGACGGAAATCCCTTAAACCCTTAAGTTTTCTGACTTCTCCCTTTCTCTCGCCGGAAACGCTCAAAAACAAATACTACCACCATATAGTAGCTTCGTTGACTCAGTGAGTTCATCTTTAGGGTTTTATTTAACAGGATTCAGCAATGCGAGCTCTTCAACGAATCTTAACAAACTTGTCGCAAAACTCACTTCCCAAACCCTTAAAAAAATTCAACTTTGTCAAACCCTTTTCTACTGGCAATAATGATTGGAGTTCCAATTTCGGAGGCACCGGATCATCTACAGATGATTTGGGTTGGGATGTGGGTTCGAATTCATGGTCTACTGGTTTAACAAAGGAGCATTTCGATGGAGAAGTTGTGGGCCGACACATGGGTTCGGGTCCGCCTCCGGGTTCGGGCCCCATAAATGTACCATCTGGCGGCCCGTCTGTTGGGGGGTTCAGTTCAGCTAGATGGACTGATGAAGAAATGGATAAAGTGAAGGAGCTTCAAGCCGAGAATCGAAAAGGGAAAGCTTTTGTTGATGGATGGGATGCGCGGATGAAGGATATCAGTGTTTTGATGAAGCAGGTCACACAAATAAAAATTCTCTATTTTTAAATTTGATTTATATGCATTGCTGAGTAAAGTTTTTTCTTTTTAACTACTCCCTCCGTTTCAATTCAATTTATGTGAATGTATTTCCTTTTTGGTCCGTGCCAAAAAGAATGACCTCTTTCATTATTTGGAAACAATTTAACTTTATACAATGATTTATAGCCACACAAAATATACGTTGACTCATTTTACACCACAAGTTCAAAAGTCTTTCTCTCTTTTCTTAAATTCCGTGCCCAGTCAAATGTGTTCACATAAATTGAAACGGAGGGAGTACATTGGTTAGGGCAAGTTACTAGCATAATTTTTAGGTTATTAAACCCGTGTTTAGTGTAGACACCTACTGATATCTTAACTGATCAAAAACTCAAATAGAAACTTCCCTTGTTTTTTTATTTATCTTATATACATTGCAGTGTAAAGATTTTTTTCAAACAACATCCGTTAGGACAGGTTAGTACCATAGTTTTTAGGTTATCATTCCATGTTTAGTGCGGACAATTACTTGATAATGCACTCTTAACTGATTAAATATTGCAAAAATTTGTCTAAGTCTTGGTGGGCAGAGTTACCTAGTACTTGTGTGATAGCAGCTAGCAGGTACTCAGTGCAATAGCCAAGGTGCGCGCAAGCTAGCCTGAACACATCTGTCATTAAAAAGATACTGCAAAAATTTGATTTAGTTAATTTTTTGCACTGCGAGTTTTAAAAAGTAAAACTCTTTTTTTCTTTAATGCTTTTATTTTTTGAATTTTAATTGTTTGTAGTTTTAATTAGAAACGATGTTGGTATGAGTAAGGATAGTGTAGGCTGATTAGAATTTATAGGTTTATGTCTTACTTACTAGCAGTGATGGGCTAAGCTCAATGAATGTTGGAAACTTATACTGCATAGGGAACTTTAAATATATGAGTTTTTGAATCCCTTTGACATAAGGGAGCTTTAAAACTAGTGGTAAGAGGGTTCAGAAATTGTTTTAAGCTCATAAGTTGGAATCCTAGGTGTGGTATTTTTTTATTTTTTGAATCCCCTTGTTAGGATTTCTGATCTACCACTGTTTACTAGAATGGGTGTTTGAGCATATAGGGTTGAATTGTCTAATTTTGGGTTGATCCAGAATTAGTTTTCTTTAATTTTTGTGTATTAAGTTTGCGTACTTAGAAACTATACAAAAAGTAAGGTAAACTTTTATAGTTTGAATCAGAATTTTGATAATTCTGGAAGTATGTATGGTCTAGATTGATTAGAGACCGTGTATGGTACTTGCTTTGTTCCCAAAACTCGTTATGTGGTTCGGTGTACAAGGGTTAGATTGTTTAGTTTCCATTTACTGGCTAATTTTGAAGTTTATTTTCTCCCTCCATTTCTGTTTATGTGAACCTATTTGACTGTGCATAGAGTTTAAGAAAAAAAGAAAGATTTTTGAAACTTGTGGTTGTAAACATGCCATAACATTTGTGTGGCTAGAATTTTTTTAAAACTTGCAGTGTAAAACATGTGATACCATCTAAGACTAAGGGGAAAACCACTAGAGCTCAAGTACTCAAACAGGTGGCTACTGAAGTTATTTATTCAATTTGTAAAGAGAGAAACAACAGAGTTTTCAACAAAGAAGAAAGAAGTGCAGACATCATAGCTGAGGAAATAGCTTGTGTCTTGTCACATTAGAGCCTCTGTAGTGTCTAGGAGATTTTTGCAAAAACTTGTCTTTTAGAGTAGTTGGATAAATTCAATTTGATTTTGTGTTTCTGCTATTTTAGGTAAAAGGGTAAGAAGAAATCCTCCCTAGGAGGTGTGCTTCTTCGCTCTTATTATTAGCAAAGCGTTTCTTTTGTTTTGATATTAGTGTTGTCAAAGGCTTATTTAAGGCGCGCTTAAGCCTTGAAGCTCAGAAAAGTTTGAGGACGTTTTGCCTCGCTTAAGCTGCGCTCCAGTGTAGGCAAGGCACTAAGGCATACGTACTCATTGTCCATGAGTTTTATCTTGAATCGAGCAGGCATGTGCATTCGATTTATCGATTCGATTTTGACCCTTATCAATAATTATTTATTGATTATCCATTTGTACATATGCTTATCGTTATCGTTTCAATAAGGTTTCCATTTTTTTCGATTTCGATTTATCAATTTTTGGGGCTTATCGATTCGGTTATCGATTACACCAATAAGAAAATTTGTGGGATTCCACGGAAAGTATATTGCTATAAACACGCCTAACTAATATGGACAAATATAAGCTAAAATAAGACGAACACCGTTTATAACATAAAAATTGTGTCAACAAGCACATGCAACGAATCGATTCTATTTTCCACTAACACTCCAACGGTATAAAAAAAATAAAAATACATCATCACGGCTAAAGGAAAAGGTAATTTTTTTAGTATATCTTATCTGTTTATCGATAAACCGATAACCGAAGAGGACAAAATCGAAATCGAAGTCGATAACTCGATAAGGAAAATTTCGAAATCGAAATCGAAATCGATAAACCGATAAACCGATATCGAGAAACCGATAACAAATAATCGATTCGATTAATCGATAAACCGATTCGAATGCATACCCCTAGAATCGAGCGGTACTAAACAACAAATATTATCAGCAAATAAGTGTATTAGTTGTTGAGGAAAACGTTATGCATGAATTTGTTATTTTTTCCTTAACTTACATTATATTTTTAGGTTTTCCTTACTTGAACCATTTTTTACTAAAGCTCACAGTTAAATTACGCTTTGGGCTTAAAGCCTCAATATGCCTAGAGCGCGTTTTAGAGCTTTTTGCCTTTGACAACACTGTTTTAGATACTGATTGACAGTATGCCGAGCTGGCTTAGCTGTGGGTTTGTATATATTTACTTGGTGATTAATTAAATTCTTAACTACCAAAAGATGAAAGCTTCTCAGTAAGGTAATATTGGAATCCTAAAATTAAGAGTTTTCTTATTAGGTGGGTTCATTTGAATAAAAAGGAAATAAGTTCACATATTTTGAAAGGAAGAGAGTATTAATTACTAAGGGCTCATTTGGTACGAGGGATAAGGGATAATTAATCCTGGGATTAAATTTGTGATGAGTTCATCTCACGTTTGGTTGGGATAAAATCGACTAATTCCGGGATTAGTTATCCTGGGATTGTAGTGTTATTTTTATCCTTATGGGAGGGTGAGATAACAATCCCGGGATAACTAATCCTTGTTTCCCAACCAAACGACCCTAAGTGTTTATTATGACTTCTCTCTGTTCCAAAGGCCATTATACCAGGCCACACTAACTTTGATCACCAAACCAAGTACATTGTCGCACGCTGATCTATAATGGCCTTTGGAAAAGGGAAAAAACCATAATAAATACTTAGTAATTATACTCTCTTGCCTCTATACCTTTTTTTGGGGGAAAACAAATACTCTCCTCCTTTTGAAAATGAAGTAACGTATTAAGAAATGGGAAAATTTCACATAAGAACAACTGGGCTTCCTACTTTTCAATTTTATAGCCCATATTTCAATTTACAACCAACTAGCCTAAAAATAATAGGCTAAGATTCAACATCCAACTCCAATAGGTTCTCAAAATTACTATTTAATTTTTTAAAAAGTTTGCTCAAGCTTTTAAGTTAATTTTTGAATCAGTAACTGTGACTCAAATATTAGTTCAACAAACCAAATCCATTTGGGTGGTGAAAATTAGATTTTTAACGCTTAAATATGTGGGTTTAAATTCCGAATTTGATTTTGTGAGAAATTTGGAGTGGGTGTTATTTAGACTTGTTAGAAATAGTATAAGGAGGTTGTATATAAAATTTGCAGTCGTTTAATGGAGATTTGGATTGGTTTTGAACAAGAATTGCAACTGAAAATCGTGGAAGAAGTTCGTCTACAGACGCTTGTATAAAGGTGTATAATAGTGTATAATATGTGATTATACACTCATATACACTATTATACATGATTATACATAATTATACAAAAAATTGACTTTGTCTTCTTCCTTGCGTCTTTTCTGAAATTTAACTCAAATCTTGCTCAAATCTACTCCAAATCACTTCAAATTTAAATTTTGAACTCCTTTTGATGTTTTCAATCAATTGGAACAACATCCAATCCAAACAACTAACAAACTCAAAAAGTCCTATTTTCGAAACCAAAGCTTTGAATGGCCTTCATTGGTGGACTTCTACACTTCAATTTTTTTACATTCCAACCAGGTGACATAGGGGGAGAAGCAGTAATGGCGGACGGCCCTCTTGAAGCATATGCAAAAAAATGTGAGAAGAAGAGAGTGAAAGCAATGGTTGTGAGAGCACAAATTTAACTCCATAGCTTTTAGAAGCAATGGTTGTAAGAGCACAGATTTTGAATTTGCAAGAGCTACTGTTTTCAAAATACGTACAATATGGGCTAGGTCGGATAAAACTTAAAAACATGGTCCATTTTTTGTTATGGCGTGAAGTCATGTGTATTTTCTTGTAATTCTTTCTTAAGAAATTGCATATGTCGTAATATTGCAAATCAAACTTAAAAAGTGTTCGAATACGTATTGAAAAACTGTAGTCATCATAGTCAAGGAATCTCTTTTTCATTAGCTTATAAAGTGGGATAGGGAGAAATTAAATTTCCTGTTGTTGGTTATGTTACAACATTAAGAACTCGATGAAGAAATAAGGGTATGAATTGGTAGTATCATCCTAACCAACTATGATGGATTATTAAAATTTGGTGTTATTGGAGCAGGTAATGGAGCCAGGTGCAAGGGGGTCTTATTTGAAGGATTCAGAGAAGACAGAAATGTACAAGAAGCATAAGGAGAACCCAGAGTTGTATACTGTTGAGCGCTTAGCAAAAGATTACAGGATCATGAGGCAGAGGGTTCATGCAATTCTGTGGCTTAAGGAACTTGAGGAGGAGGAAGAGAAGAAGCTTGGACGTCCATTAGATGACTCTGTAGAGCTCTTGCTTGATACATGCCCAGAGTAAGTCATTCCGCCGAATCATTCGAGCTTTTGTCGTAACGTATTACTTTTGTCCAAGTTTAATCTGTTTTTTTGTACCTTTTTTGTACCATTTTGGTACCTTTTAATAAAATTTTACCTTATAAAAAGAGTACTAATAATGTGGTTTTGTTACACCAGCATTGGTATTAGTGCCGTATATGATTGCTTAGTCCAATGTATATGCAAATTGGCTTTAGTAGTGGCTTATTGCTGATCGTGTGAAGCTGAGGGTGAAAACTTTTAGAATTCATATTATGTAGTTGTGTTTGTCACTGGCTGTTCGGCTGGTGGCTATATCTATATAATCCTGTTATTTGTTTCTTTTAGGGCAATCAGAATATTAAAAGAGCATGTGTTCGTTATATTTTCAACAGGTATCAGTGACATAATAATTGGCTGACCACAATGTGACAATGAGAATGGTGGGAAATAGTTTGAAGTAACAAATAGTCTTGAATTGTCTTAGCAACACTGGTAACATAACTAGTTACAGCTTTAGTCCCTAGTTCTCCTGGTAAGACCATCTTCGCAGCACCCTGAATTTCGTTTGACGACAACATTGTTTGTCGTATGTACCTTGACAATGTTGCTGCTGCCACTGCAATTCTCTCAAACATGTCTCCCATCAGATTATCTAATATAGTCATAGATTTTGACGATATTTCCATATCTGGATGCTTGTTTCATTACCTATATATAAGACCTATATAAATATTGGTCTTGCTAACATACTACATAGTATGCTAGCAATGTACCCATTTCTGAGTTCACCAAAATATAGTTCATCAAAACAGGGACCTTTTCGTCTTTCGCCTGAAATTCTCTATCTGCAATTTCCTAAACCCATCTCCGATTTCCTCCGTGTAGAAAAGTTCTTGTCCGAAGCTGGCTATGCAATTTCTCATTTGTTTTTGAGGAATTTTTCCATAACTGCACTTTCTTCTGTAATTCTAACTTATTTTATCAGGATTTTTTATAGAACTACAATTTCTTCTTCAACTATCGAATCCATAAATTAGTTAGCAGAAACAAAATGATCGTAGTTAAACTTTTTAGCAAAAAGCAATAAATTCTTAAGAGGAAAGAGGTCAGGGAGCTCTAATGGAGGCAACCACAAATTTCAAAATGAAGAATCATGTAAGGAGAAAGGAATAACTTTGAGAAAAGTAGCAGACTCGCAGTAATGAGCAATGGCAAAAAGGCTTTTGTTTTGCCATTATGGTTGAACTTAATGAAAGTAATGATAGCCACCCATAACAGACTGCTTGTTTAATGGAGGAAAGAGGATTCTGAGGAGCACTGTGTCTGAGACATTGGGGAGAAGAAATGGGTGTGAGGAGTGAAAACTGTAGAGAAGAAATGGGGTATGTGATTGAAAGGACAAAAAAGTCCCTACATGTAATGTGCTGGCAATAAATAATAAGGGTATTTTGGTGAACTCAAAATAGGTACATTGCTAACATACTGACTTCATGTAGTATGTTAGCAAGACTTGTGTGTATGTGTGTGTGTACATATATATAAAATGCATGGAGGGCTTACTCCACACAACCTGCGGAGCCCCAGCTTATGTGATGGCGCCAAAGCTGACATCTGGTCTTATGGGGTGATCTTATTTGTCTTGTTGGCCGGTTATCTCCCATTCCATGACTCAAATTTTTTGGAGATGTATAGGGAGATCAAGAGGGCTGAGTTCAAATGCCCTAATCGGTTCCCACTAGAAGTGCGGAAATTCCTTTCTAGGATCCTTGACCCAAACCTCATACAAGGATTTCCATTGCCAAAATAAGTAAAAGCTCCTGGTTTAGAAAAGGTTGGATTCAAGCAATGGGGGAACCAAATTAGAAGATAAGTAAAAGTTTAGCTTAGATGCCAATGCTATTATCGGTGCCTGTACGAATAACAGTATCTCTTCCTCTGCGTCGAAACTAGAGTTTGCCAAAACCTACAAATCTAAATGCATTTGACATCATCTCTTTTTTAACTGGGTTTGACTTGTCTGGTTTGTTCATAGGAAAGGATTAGAAGGAGGAAGTGCAGCTCACCTCAATGAAGCCTCTCCTTCTTCTATCATGTCCAAACTTGAGAAAGTTTGCCCGAAACTAAAGCTGGAAGTAGTGAAGAAAGAAGCTGGATTTATAAGATTAGGGGATTGAATGAGTCCATTGATGTGGAAATATTTGAAATTACTCCGTCCTTCATCTTGGTTGAGCTGAAAAGATCATATGATGATACAGTGGAGTACCAAAAGATTCTGAGACAAGTTATAAAGGCTTGCTGTGGAGGAAATTGTTTGGGCTTGGGAAAGTATGCAGCCAATTAATAGTTAGTACTTAGTAGAGACACTAGAAAGAGCTTTTGATCTCTTATATTCACTCTCTAAGTTGTTCTCACTTTAGTATCAGTATTTAAAGTACTAACTGTGTGTTTGGTTCTAGTCCTAATAGTCACTTTTACTACGTGTCAGCTTGTTTTAGACACTTGTCGAAGCATATTACAGACAACTTATCTTTAAATATTTCTTTGAACAAAAAAGTTTTTAGGAGTGTCTCAACTTCAAGTAGACCATGGGAAAAGCCTTGCTCAACTTTATGTTTTTCCATAGCGAATGATCACTCTAGATTCATAATTGTTATTGGATTTGATTGTTCACTTTCGTGGTTCTTTATTTGCTGGATGGATAAACACACATATTCTCATTATTACGCGGTTAAATTTATTTATGCCACTATGAAAGAATTGTTTAGGACTAACCTAGAAGGTACGTGTTCGGAAGCTAAATAAAACTTGGAAAATCCACCAACCTTACTTTGAAGAAGTTAAAGTTTAACGGATGTGATTAAAGACTTCATTGTTAAACCGTTATGCAACAGCTCTTCTCTCACAACTTTGTTGGACACAGGCTGTATGATACTTGTATGATGTATAATATGGACGGTCAAGAAAGTGGAACCAACTATCATATATCTTGTCGATGTTATTTTGTAGCTTAGAAGAGGAAATAACTCATACAGTGGAAGTTGTTGTGTGGGAACATGAAATGTATGCACATCTTTAGTATAAAATGCTTGTATTGCATTTGTTTTAGGTAAGTTTATCATTCTAAGCGGCAATGTGTGTGCGCTCTAACACTATTCCTGTTGCTGAAACAACTTATATTGTTCCACTCATGAAGACCAGTGGTATGCATTCGTGCTTGTTATTCGTCTTGTCAAGCGTGTTTAGCTTTATTTATTCTGAAAAATACAGTATTAACTGACCTCATTTGAATGCAGCAACTTTGCCTTGAGATGTTGTGGTGAGTGGTAGAAATAACCTCTTCGTATTGTAGTCTTATGTAATCTCAATAATTTTTACTATAGATCTTCTCTAGCAATGTTCAACTTTATCTATCTTGAAAAATACTTTATTATTCTACTTCATTTTCTCATGGCATCTTTGCCTTCAGCAATATCATGGTGAAAGGCCTATGTTGTCCCCGTGCTCAGCACGGGCATGCTTGCGATAATCTAGCAATATGTTTGTGCTGGTCGCCCGGACACTGTTATGAAAATTATCACTTTATTAACCAAACCTGTGATGGCAATAATTATCTTCCTTGTTGTGCAGATTTTTCAATTCTCATGACAGGGAATTTCATGTTGCAACTCTTCCTTATAAACCTGACTTCAAGGTCATGCCTGAGGGTTGGGATGGGACTACCAGGGATCCTGATGAGATGCACTATGAAATATCAATGAAGGAAGATGAGATGCTGTATCAAGAGTTTGTCCAGAGGATGAACTTCAACAAGATGAAGGTTAGCATGTCTAGGGAACCAAATGAAACAATAAGTTCTAACCGTAATGATGGGACTTATTGTTGCACCAAATTAAGGTTTTGATCTCTTATGTGTACTATTATTCTGTTTTACTAACTCTGTGCTTTGCGGTTTTGCTTTGGTTTTAGATGGCGAATAAAGTGAAATGCCACAAGTATAGCCGCAGGCGTCCTTCAAATGGCTGGAATTTCACTGTTGAGATGCTAGGATCTCGTGGCAAGCGTGGGAATGGTGGTGGTTGGAAGTTCATTAGTCAACCTGACGGTTCCAGCCGACCCCTTGATGAGTTTGAGAAGATGTTTGTCAAGAGAGAGACCCCACGCCGGCGGAAGAAAATTCTCCCATGATTTTTCTGGCATAAGGCAAGGTAGATTCCAGTTAAAAGACATGCTCTTAAATTGCCAGATTTTCTCATAAGTGACACATTTCATGTGCTTTGGAAGGATTTTTTTTTTTTTTTTTTTTTCGCCAGAGCCAGTATGCTATGTGTTATAAAATGTCTTTGCAGATTGATCGCAAGTAGTTCTTACGGCTCCTGTACCTCTCATCAAATTGGTTAAGTCAAAAGTTATTGTGGATTATTTCTACCTCCATAATTTCACATCGTTTTGTGAAAGATTACTACATCTGATTTTGTATGCTGTCTTTGCTATTTCACTTTAGATACTCTTCACAAGTTTTTAAAGATTTTACCAGCATTGAAGTTCAGTATTTGCAAATAATGAAATATTATTTAGGCCAAACATTTCCGTGCTTTAATTGTATCTGCTCTCTACTTCCTTTTTCTTCTAATCCTTTTAATCTTTTATGCTTTTGGAAGGGAATTGTGTGAGCATTTAAACAATAACAACATACTCAGTATAATCTCACAAGTGGGGTCTTGGGAGGATAGTGTGTATGCAGACCTTACCCCTATTTGGCGAGGTAGAAAGTATAATCCCACAAGAGGGGTCTGGGAAGGGTAGTTTGTACGCAGATCTTACTCGTATCTGACGAGGTAGAGGCTGTTTTTGATAGACCTTCGGCAAAGGTTAAATCTGACAATGAGCATAAAGGTGTATAAGAACAACAATAACATACCCAGTAATATGCCACATCGTGGGGTTTGGGAAGGATAATGTGTACGCATATCTTACCCTATTTTGTGGGTAAGGAGTATAAGAATCAGAGTAAATATGCCACTGAAGCCTAGCTACTCTATATTCTATTGATTGGTAATAGCTTGCTACTTTGAGATGTCATCAGTCAAAATATTCTAATAGAGGATAAGTCACTAAATATTCTAATAGAGGACAAGTCTCGGGGAACCTTAACTATTTATTTTGTTATTTGTATTTTAGTATAAAGTGGGGCAATGCTACCCATGACATCGAATGCTCCGTTTATAAAAGAAATGTCACGTTTCTTTTATCATCATCACTCTGTAAAAAAAGCAAATCCAATGTCATAATGAAAGACCAAGAGTTGAAATTCACTTGAGAAGATAAAAAATGAAAACATAGAAAGTCAAAAAGTGTGGCCACCAATATGATTACAAGCACTTAATAAAAGAAAGAAAAATGGCAGGGGAAATTGTATAGCCTTTTTAATATACAGAAACAGAAACATTAAGAATAAATTCCGAATTGGTTACAGACATTGCTAGTAAGCCAACTAGATGACATTTGCTAGTGTGTCGAAGTCTTTCTTAATAGGAGGATTTTATTTCATAATGATTCTTATTAGCGATTTATTTATGGACATGGTATTGAATTTCAAGTGTCAACATTTAATTTTAAGAATAAATCTACAGTTGGTTGAGATTAAAAAAAAAAATATAAATCGCAATATTTCAGCTGAAAACATAGCACCACTAAAGATTGAATGGTGAAAGTTGCCAAAGTTATAAGAAATCAAGGCCCCTGTTCTCGGCCAATTCAAGAGTGTTTTTTTACTTTCAATATTCCAAAGTAAAATTCATGTACTTGGGGATTCCTACTGTAGAACCATGGTCAAAAACTGAGGGCGTAGACAATAGAAAGTGTCTTTTTTGGGACATTTGAATATTGGAAGAGATTATTCCAAAATGTTATAAGTATGATGATTATGTTCTTATACATGCACAACTAGTTTGAGTAGAACAGACTCAAGTTCTTCTAAACCGATGCTTAACTTGTATCTTGTCTCAATTCAATGTTTCATATGGACTTGACATGGGGCATTTGTATTTATACCCGCTTTTTGTTGTTTTAACTTGTGTTCGCTTTGCAAAAAAATTTGCAAGCGTATCCACTTTTTCGCGTAACTTCAGCATACGGGGCTGAAGTAGCAAAGGCAATCACGCAAAACTTTAGCATTATAGTAGACGGGCCTGAAGTAGCAAGTGTGTTGAACCAAGTGTGCTGAAGTTTTTGTTTGTAATTGCTGAACTTAAGCATAGTAGTTGAAGTTTTGTTCTCTATTTGCCAAAGTTTTATTTGTAATTGCTGAACTTAAGCATAGTAGCTGAAGTTTTGTTCTCTATTTGTTGAATTTTTTGTTTGTAATTGCACCAAATAAGCTGAAGTTTTTCTTTGTCCTGGATTCATTAGTTTTGTCATTAAGCTTTTTCAAAAACTTTAGCAGAAGATGCTGAAGTTATTAAGTTCATTTATAATAACTTCAGCACTAAATAAGCTGAAGCTTTTTTGTCCTTGATAAGCCTTTTCAAAAACTTCAGCAGAAGATGCTGAAGTTATTTAGTTCATTTGTAAAAACTTCAGCACTAAAAGCTGAAGTTTTTTTATCCTGGATTCATTAGTTTTGTCATAAAGATTTTTCAAAAACTTCAGTAGAAGATGCTGAAGTTATTTAGTTCATTTGTAAAAACTTCAGCACTATATAAGCTGAAATTTTTGAAAAAGCTTTCTAACATACTAGATAAATAATCAGATTGCCAACAGTATATAAATCATTAATTTTGGAAACAATAAACGTGAAAAGAACAGAATTATCATTGTCTACTACCTTACGTACATGGAAATATTCACAAATTATTGTCTACTAACTTACGTAAATATTTATAATTTGTTTTTAAATAATCTGATAAACATATTTATGGTAATCATCCCATGAACTGAAGTTTCATAGCAACACCAACAACAACAGAAGAAAGATGAAGAAGAAGAAGAAGAAAACGAAGGAGGAGAAATGAGGCTGAAGTTGTTTAAAAAGTGGGTACAAGTTAAAACTTTAAAAAAATGGGTATAGGTTAAATGGAGGCAACCAAATAGGGCGCCTCTTTACACTTGACATGATCGGTAAAATTAGAGTAAGATTTTGTATTATAATATCATGCAGTGAGAACGAATTATTCTCTCTGTTCTAATTTATGTAATGCACTTTTCTTTATAGTCTATCCCAGATGAATAAAATCTTTCTATGTTTAGAATTTTTTTGTACTTCTTGCTTTATATTTAATAAAATAATTTATAATCAAACAAATATCTATGACATGTTTTAGACTACATATTTTAAAAGTTTTCGTTCTTATATTTCGTATTTAGTCAAATTACATACATAAATTGGGACGAAGAAAGTACAATTGTGAAAATCGTTTATACCCCTCAACTTTACTTTAAAAATCAACCCCCCTCAACTTTAAACAATTATCATTCTCCCCCTCCCCTCTTATTCTACACAATATCTATTTTGTCCTTGCCATTTTCAATTTTCTCCTCTATGTCATATTCTTTTTTATTTTATATATTATTTTTATGAATTTACCTATAATTTAAATTATGTTATACCTTATTATATATTATAATTTAAATTTATAAAATTTATAAATAGAATAGTTCTTTTATAAATTACCACAAAATCTACATTACTTTTATAATTTTTATTTTAGTATAACACGCATTAAGTATATATTTAAGTTACATTTTCTCAATGGTAAATAGATAATCTTTTAGGAGTCTGTTATAAGATCTTTCATTACTTTTAATAATTATAAATTTTTATTACATGCATTGAATATATATTTATAAGGTTTTCACCGTCTTTTATTCTTGATTGCCTAAATAGATTATTAAAATTTGATTGGTATTGATAAAATTATTGATAAGAATAAGTTATTTTATTTTTAATTTTTATTCTACTCATTCTTTTCATTATTCAACACCATTTTCTTATATTCTTGATTATCATTTTTTTTCATTTGAAAATAAAATTTAATTATCATATAGGTAAGTTCAGCGCGTAGATACTAGAAAAGAGAAAAATATCATGATACTAAAAAGGTAAAAAAAATAAAAAAAAATTGAAAGAGATAAATGCTAATAATATAGAAATTGGGCATTTTAAAGAGTCAATTGAGAAAAGAGAGGGAGAATGTCAATTGAGAAAAGAGAGGGAGAATGACAATTGTTCAAGATAGAGGAAGGATTTTGATTTTAAAAGCACAATTCGGGGCATTCATTTTTAATAACAAGTAAATTTCAGAAGAACTTTAGAGTTGTATAATTACTAAAGGGGATTTTTTTCTTCAAGCCAATCAATAGTATTTTCAAGAAGCACTGAAGTATTTATGGTCCGGACACCATCATTATAAAAAATAATAGTCAGAGTTGAAACTTTAAATCTACGCATAAGGGATAAGGCTTAAAATCTCTTGAACACTTTTATCATTTAACTCAGAACTTAATCAATTAGCTGTCCTTGTCTTTTTAACTAATCTATACTATATTAAAAGCACGAAGTATTTTAGCAAAATATCGTTCATCTTTTTCACCCTTTAAAAAAGAGTTTATATTGGACAAAATTGTAATTTAAGTTACTTTCCTAATATTTAGAATTTTAAAATTAATTCTCATTAATATACTTGGCCTAATATTTAGGACCTTCCTTAAATTGAAATTTCTCTACGTTAAGCAGTATAATAAAACCTTTAAATAATAGATGTCATATCCAAAATAACTAATGATTCTTTATTAGATGCGTATTTTCTTTTGTTATTTATGTTAAGAAATCTAGGAATGCTTTCTTTTTTACCTTTTCTTATTTTAAGAAATTATACGAATACTTTATTTTATTAAGAAAATAATTGACTAAACATAGAATTAAAAGTAAATTACAATACGTTCCTCTAATTCCATGCCATAGAAGTTACACTTTATTTAAAACAAGTGACTAAACATAGAATAAAAAGTAAGTATAATTCTTTGTTTAGTTAGTTAAATATCATTAACCTTCTTCATATTCAGAGATTTAAATTTTTATTTAATTTTTATTTTACATCTTTATATCTCACATACATTACTTAATAATATTTATGCAATTTTAAAAAAATATAAATTCATTGTAAGGTATACGCGCAATGCGCGTAGCCAGACTAGCAAGTCAAAAAGTGCAAACGAGCAAAGTTGCTTGCGAAGTGAACAACCGAACAAGATATAATGTTGAATTTTAGTAAAATTTTGTTATAATCTTTTGACTTATGCCTTCTCTATCATGAGACAGAAAGGGGTGTACACAATATTTTTAAAAAGTTGTGCCACCGAAATGAACGAACAAATCGGCAAATAGCTATAACATCTTCTTATTACAACAACAACAACAACCACCCACTGAAATTCTACTAATGGGGCCTGAAAAGGGTAGTAAATACGCAGACTTTATCCCTACCCCGAATGAATAGAGAGGCTGTTTTCGAAAGACCCCCGACTC